TCTATTCTATTTTACAAAAAAAAAAAAAAGAATTCTGCATCAATAATACAAACTTTAAATATAAAATTTTAACCGGATATATACTGCTCGATACTAATGATATCCGGCTATCCAATAGTAAAAAAAGGATCGGATAAGGCCGAATCCCAGATATCCCTAATTTTAATTTAAAAAATTTCTAATTTCAGAGAATATAACATTAAATCATAACTTTTCGTCTTTTTTCAAAAAATTTAATTTTGACATTTTTATCCATATTTAATAATAATTTGAAGAAATTTATTTTGAAGAAGTGTAGATATTGACTTGTTTATAAAATTAATTTTATTTTAGATAATTATATCTCATAATTTTGCATAAGTTTCGTCTAATTATCTTATTGTTTAATTGTTATAATTTTAAGATTAATTTCCTAAAGTTCTTGAAAATGTAAACTAAACTAGTGTTGCACCTAATACTTAAATTCTCGCGACAAATCGGCGCGTCTGCTGATTATCTAAAAAAAAAAAAAAAAAAAAAAACAAAAAGATGTAATGTTGAGCAACAATCTCGTCCGCCAAATTCCTCTGTACCGGGGAAATTAAACTAATACCGAAATATTTCCATTGCGAAAAAGAGATAAGATGATCTCTTCTTGTGGCTTTTGTGGAATACCTCGTATAAGCTGATTTTGTGTTCTTATTAAAATGTGTAATTAAATTCATTAAAGATATACTGATCTCTCACGCATTGCTCAGTTAATGCGTGAGACGAATGGTGATGTTTGTTTTTGATCAAAAATTTAGGTTTCCTTCTAGTTGGTGCGTTGGATAGAATAAAGTTCCTTATATCTTTAAATACTAAATTAAAAAAAATTTTGGATATCAAAATTAAGTTTTTTCCAAATTCTTAATTGCCTAATTTTTCAAAGTCACAAAGTTTTAATTAATTTTTTAAAGTTTTCGATTATTAAATTTTTGAATTCTAGTGACTCTTAGGTCACAAAATTCAATGTAAAATTGAATTTTTAAATAATCTTTTTATATCTTTAAATCGTTTTTGTTGCTACCTGTCTCAAATATATTTCATTAATTTTGAACCAACTTCTGAGAGAGAGAGAGAGAGAGAGAGAGAGAGAGAGAGAGAGAAAGAGTAATCGGATTTAATATCATGATTCTAATCAAATGACACCAAGATAAATACAACAACGGTAAGCAAGCTTTTTCATTTACATGAAGTAATGGTATAAATATAACGCGACTTGGCGTTTGAATAAATATATTGTTGATATTATTATGACTATTGTGTTGTTGCTATTGTCATTATTGTTATTCTACATTATACAAAGGTTACATCAAGTAAATTTAATGTTACAGATACATGTATGTTATGAAGACTATCTATTTCTTTAGTTAGATTGGTATTATATATCAGTGCGCTCCTCGCCCTGATAAAGCGAACGACAAGATTCACGAAAAACATTGGCATTAGCAATGGATAAAACACGGCGATAACCCGTAAACCTTCTGGTATCTTTGAATATTGCTCTCGTCACTAGTTCTTTGAGAACTTTTATGAACGTATAAAATTAAAAATAAATTTTTACGTCTTACAAGTTAGCAAAACAAATGAGCAACAAATGAAAATATTAGTTAAAATTGATTCTGCTCACTTTGTTCCGTTAATTTATAAGATGTAATTTTTTTGTAGAATTTTTTAAACTCAATTATGATGTTTAGAAATAAAGAGAACTACTATTTCTTAATTCTTATTATCTTCTAAAGGGGCGCATGATTCTATGTAAACAATCGATTAAAAAATTCAATCGTGACCTTCATTCCATATGCCTCGATTTTATAAGAAGTTAATTAGAGAATAGAAATTGAGTTGTAACCTGATGTGCAGCATTTCCCATGCAGAACAAAAAGCAATACTTACATTCGGTGTGGTCTCACGTAGCCATTCGTCTGCTTGTTCATCGAAATCCAGCTTACAGGCTAGTCTCAGATCGTTTGCTGCTTCCTCAAACTTTCCAAGCAAATGATGAGCTCTTCCTCTAAATTTGTAAGCCGCTGCGCTATCCGGATTTAATTCTATAGCACGATCGCAATCACGAATACAAGCATTCGGTTTGTTTAATATTAGGAAAACTTGACCACGTTTAGCATATAATAAGGCTGCTTGAGGATTCAGTACAATAGCCTCTGTATAAAGTTGTATGGCTTTTTCATAATCTTTCTCCACAAATGCAGAGACTGCTTCAGACCTTTTTGCTTGTGACTCTGCGATTTCCTCCTCATTGGGCTGTAAAGTCAAATTTCCCATTTTTTGAGGAGCATCTTCATCAGGTTCTAAAAAAAGAAAGACAAGCATATTATATTATTATATATTTATTATAAAAAAACAATGTAAGAATATATATATATATATATATATATATAATTTGCAAGAGATAAATATATAAGACAAACCGATTACGTCAGTCATATCCAACTCTAAGTCGCTCTCTTCACTCTCTTCACTCTCTGGTGCCGATTCAAATTGTGGTTGCTCAGGTTTGTTTTCAAATTCTGTTTTGGTATCTGAAGAACCATTTGCTTTAGCTTCTGGCACCTTACCACCATAATGTTCTATCAAATCCTTAATACAGGACAGTTTTGGATCATGAAGAAGAGACGCATCACTCATGCATTGCTGAGCGAACAATTTTAGCTGTTGTGTGACTTTATCACTAAACACAGGCACCTCCATGTTATCTACAAACACATGTCGATTTATCAAATGCTCCGTTTGTGAATTCAAGTAGCCTAACCGAAGATTACTCTTGCGTAATAAACCATCTATTGATGTTGTGGTGCAAAAATACAAAGATATATGTTTCTTTAGGCATTCAAAAATATATATCTACGATATCTAATTCGAAAAACACGCAACTCACGTTCTGCCTTTAGGAATAATTAAGAATTGTGAATGCAAGTCAGGTGAACTCACCACTGATTATGAACGAATGATCTTCCGAAGTAATCTTATTCGTGAACTATTGTATATATTATATTCTTGATGTTTTGCCTCCGGATTAGTTTATTCAAGTGCACAACAAATCCTGCAACGCAACGTCCCGTGATCGCATTCAAAACCGGATACGGAATTACGAAAAACGCAGTACGTTACAAGTCACAACGCTGTAAATACGTGTGTATATATATATATATATATATGTATGCCATATATATGCTTATGCATGCAGTTATGTATGGACATTTGTGATTTGGCCCCCGACACGTCGAAAATGTGCCCTCTACTTTCGCTACACCAATTGACATCGCTCTTTAGGGGCTGCGCACAATAAAAGGAATAGGGAACAAGGAACAGAGAATAAGAATTTCAACCTGTCAGAAACTGTGTATTCCACCATACATGATTTCTGATAGGCTAAAATTCGTATTTTCTGTTCCCTGTTCCCTAGTCCTTTCATAGTACGCAGCCCCTTACTAGTTGAACGCGGTGTCAATTGGTGGAGCAAAAGTTGAAGAGCGAATTCTCGATCATTCTCGATATTACTGGCGGCCAAATGTACATCTTTGCACGATGGTAACTTTCCAACAAGAGACACGGGTCAAAGACGACAGTGTCAAAGACACAGAGAATGGACTGCGCGATCCGTATCTAATAGCGTTTTCGGCCCGACCGGGTTTGCACCAACCTGGGTTGGATTAATGGCGTTTTGCGCTCTCCTATTGGTAGAGCGTGTGATATCAACCAATAGGAAAGATTAATCCAACCCAGGTTGGTGCAAACCCGATCGGGCCGAAAACGCTATAAGTAATGTATCAAATGTCGACGACAATAATGAGAGAGAGGTCCGTGGGAGACGGCTAATGCTGGATTCACCCTGCATCTGATTTTCGTCGTACGACGCAAATCGGATGCAATGTAAATCTAGCATATTCCCCTCTCATTCTCTCTCCCATTACACCATTGAATGGAAAGAGATAGAAATGGCCATCTGCCACGGTCAGCTCTTGTATCTGGTTGGTCTATATTTTTAGATCTAACGGAATGTCTCAAGACGCTAATGCGGCCCCCTGATTGGTTCGTGACAGCTTAAGACTGAACTTAAGGCGATCTTGAATATAAGAACTTACTATGAATACCGGCTTAAGATTGGTTCAAGCACTAGTTTAAGATCATCTCGAGTGTTAAGCAATGGGCGCATTCAGCGGACTCAATAGTTGTGTGAGCGCTCGCTGTTATTGGTGTATTCTTTAGCTCATCCAATCAGAATTTTAGATTTAGAAGAATACACCAATAACAGTGAGCGCTCACTCAACTGTTGAGTCCGCTGAATGCACCCAATGTTTATGGATTCCGTACAGTAAAGTCTATGATATATGGGCGCGTTTACACCTTGACGGAAAAGCAGAAAAGGAAAGGCAGCAGCCAATCAGAAGTCGCGTTGGTAGTCTTCGATTTCGGCTTTTTACCAGCGCGAGTTCTGATTGGCCACTGCTTTTCAGCTTTCTGCTTTTCCGTCTAGGTGTGAACGCGCCCTAAATCGAGCTGAAAATGGCGAAACCAATCAGAAAAGAGAACACTATCCGCTTCGCTCTTCCTTCGTTAAAAAAAGGCTAGCCTGCTAGCCAAGCGAATGAAAATGATTGGTTGTTAGTTATAGATCCAACCAGTGACATTGGTCGCGTTCAGCAGATACGCTGCTATTGATGTATTCTTCTAGATGATCCAATTCTGCTGAACGCGACCATTCAATCGCTCGGGGAGCAGGCAAATGCTGGATTCAATCAGAAAATAGGATTCCGATGGATTTTGCTTCGTATGATCGGAATCCTATTTTCTGATTGGTTGCAGGGCGTCGTACATACGACGCACGTCGAATCCAGTTTGTCCGTCTCGAAGGCATGCGCCGACGCGCATCGAGTCGAATAGTCGAATCTATCCTAGAGTCGGCCATCTAGTGAATCGCGGTATCTCTGCGACGCCCGTTTGCTCCGAAAGTCCGAACCGAAGTCCGAAGTACCGAACTACTCCGAAGTTGTGTGACTGGAGCCTCGAGCCAGCGCGAAATCGCCATTTTATGTGTTTGGCACTGTCACAGCCGTCAGAGCCGTGAGAGGACGAGGGTGACACACGGGTGCGTGCGTGCGTGCGGTGCGTGCGTGCGTGCATGCGTGCGGTGCGGTGCGGTGCGGTGCGGTGCGGTGCTCGTGCGGTGCGATTCGATACACTCCGTGATACCCTCGAGGTACTCCTAAGAAGAGGACTGAGCCAAGTCCGTTCGCGTTGGAGTTGGAGTGTCGCGGTTCACAGCGCTCTTCGCTAACATGTTGCCCGAACAACGGCCGGACCTGGACGCGTACAAGTAACGACGGCGGCGGCCATCGGCCATCGGCCATCGGCGAAGAGCGGAGAGCGGAGAGCGGAGAGCGGAGAGCGAAGAGCTCAATTGAGCGAGAGCGGGGTGTCGGTTGCCGTCGCGGTCGCGGTCGCGGTGCGCCGTGCGAGAGGCACACACGACACGACGCTGCCCATCGAGATGGTGTAGCGTAGCGCGCGCGCGCGAGGCGGGCCCCTGCGTGAGCGCGAGAGAAAGAGTCTGTTTTCCTCATCCTCATCGTCGTCGCCGTCGCCCTCGCCCTCGCCCTCGTCCTCGTCCTCCTCCTTCTCCTCCTCCTCCTCTTCCTCCTATAGTACTCCTACGTACTCCTAATACTCTTCTTCGGAATAGAGCGCATTTGCGCTAAGCGACTCATCTCCCGCCCTTTACTCCCCTTGTATCCTCCAACTCTGTCGTCCTCCTCGACGTCCTTGGTGCCGACCATCGTCTTGACGATCACTGTGCCATCGTCA